TGGGGAGGTGGGGGCTTGGGCCTGGGTTCCTGGGTCTTGGGGAGGTGGGGGCTGGGGCTTTCACTCCTAGGACCTGGGAGGTAAGGGCTGGGTTCCTGGACTCCTGGGTCTGGGTTGGTGGGGGCTGGGGCCTTTACTCCTGCCACCTGGGGAGATGGGACTGGGGCCGGGGTTTCCCTGGGCCAGGCTGAGGCTTGAACACTGGCATGCTCAAACCAAGCAATGTTTTCTCCTGCAGGGTGTCTGGGCCATGCGCCACTGGTGCTGCTGCTCCTCTCCTTCACGCTCTTCACTGGGCTCCTAGTGGCCATCCTTATCCAAGGTCAGCTGCAGGCTCTGAGAGTCCTGGCCTCCCAGGCCTGGTTCTTCTGCTGTAGATGCAGCTGGGGGTGGCCAGGTCCAGTAGGAACAAGAGCCTAAAAGCTGGTCTTCTTTCCCGTTAGGTTTCTAGGGGCCTCTCCCCAGGACCACTCCCACCTCCAGGGTGGGGGAGGGAAGGAGGAACCTGGCTCTCCTGGCCCTTGCGAGCCGCCATCTCTGGGTGTCAGTTTTTCTTATCCACAAAAAAGTTTAAACAAGATTTTGGTGCTCAGAAGTGATAACCTTAATGACACAGTGTAGGGCACGGTACATGGCAGGTGTTTAATAATTGCTATTTCTAAGGCTGGGCATAGTGGCTCATGACTGTAATCCTAGCACTTTGGGAGGCCCAGGTGGGTGGATCACAAGGCTGGGAGTTCGAGACCAGCCTGACCAACATGGTGAAACCCCATCTCTATTAAAAATACAAAAAAAAAAAAAATTAGTCGGGCGTGGTGGTGTGCACCTGTAATCCCAACTACTCAGGAGGCTGAGGAAGGAGAATTGCTTGAACCCAGGAGGTGGAGGTTGCAATGAGCCAAGATTGTGCCACTGCACTCCAGCCTGGGTGACAGAGCAAGACTCCATCTCAATAAATAAATAAATACAGTTTCTTTCCTTGCCCAGTCTCCAAGAACCCCAGCTCCCAGAGGCAGGAGCAGTCCATGCAGGAGGAGATCTCCCAGGATCTGACCCAGCTGAAGGCTGCGGTGGGTGAGTGGCCAGATGCCAGGGATCCTTGGGCCTGGGAGCATTTCCATATGGTGTGACTTTGCTTGAGTCACGGACCCTCTCTGGGTCTCAGTTTTCTTCTCTGTGAAATGAGAACACAGATGAACAGCGATTATCTCACTCAGTGTTCTCAGTGGGCCAGGTACATGGTAGGCACGCAGTTAAACTAGTCTCTCGCCTTCTGTTCTGAGCTCTAAAGCCCTGTCTTTTCCTAGTCTGGAGGAGATGGGGCCAGGACTCCTGGGTTCTCCTGGGGTTGGGGGAGGGTCTCGGGAAGTGGGGAGGGAAATGGTCCACCCAGCATGAACAGTCAAGGAAGGGCCCCGATTCTCAAGGTCTTGAAGGCTGGGAACACCCAGGAATATGGGTAACCTAATCTGAATCCACTCATGACCAGCGTTTCCCAACAGAACGCCTGTGCCGCCCCTGTCCCTGGGAATGGACATTCTTCCAAGGAAACTGTTACTTCATGTCTAACTCCCAGCGCAACTGGCACGACTCCGTCACCGCCTGCCAGGAAGTGGGAGCCCAGCTGGTCATAATCGAAAGTGATGAGGAGCAGGTACACCTGGTGGGGTCCCTGGCCTGGCCTGGGGCATAGCTTCTGGCCAACCAGAGAGGAGATTCTCAGAGAGGATTTTGCAGAAGAGGGGCTTTGCTCCACTTGGAAAGATGGGAGGAGAAGGATATGAATGAGGGCGTCCCAAGCACCCTTAGAGCAGATACAAACCAGACTGAACATGTGTGAATGTTCTGGGGAAAATATCAAATATAAGTAACCCCCAGTGGCGTGCTGCAAGTGTTTAACAACCAGCTCTCTGGGGGGAAAAGTCCTGATGTGTCATGTTTGCCAACTTCCCTGGTGTAAATATTCCCGCTGTGGCTAATTTCAAACATCAATGTGATGTCACTCCGTGCAGAGCTGAAAGGAGATGTTCCTGACCAGCAATTAGGAAATAGTTGGATTTGGCTCCAATACATTATTAAGCCCAGTTATGAGTAAATTTGTGTGGGCCTTCACGGAACGTGTGAAATGGATGGACAGGCAGGATTAGCAAGAGTGTGTGAGGAGAGGCCCGCTGTGCATGGATGCCTGCATGTCAGGACACGTGTTGTGGGAGACACATGTGAGAGAGTCAGACATGGGGGGGCACTTAGGACCCAGAATATGGGAAGGCTGAAGGTTAGCCTACAAGCAGAACTTCCTGCCAAGAAATGGGGAGGTGGAGCCTGGAAAGTGGGAAGCAGAACTCCCTCCTGACTCCTCCTCTACCCTCCAGAACTTCCTACAGCTGCAGTCTTCCAGAAGCAACCGCTTGGCCTGGATGGGACTTTCAGACCTACATGAGGAAAACACGTGGCAATGGGTGGATGGCTCACCTCTGTCACCCAGGTAGATCCCGGGAGAAGGGGACATCCTATCCAGTGGGGCTGGGGTCCTGAAACTCTGACTTGAACTTTCCCTGGGGATCCTTCCCCACTCTCTGACACCCTAGATTCAAGAATCTGGGGTTTTTACTGAGTTGAGGAAGGTGGTCTTTATACCCATCTGCAGACAGGATAGCAGGTGCCTAAAATTCCACCAGCAGAGCTGCAGGAGGAGCCTGCCACCCAGGTGGGTGTGTTAAAAGATAGTGTATCAGACTGGGTGCGCTGGCGCATGCCTGTAATCCCAGCACTTCGGGAGTCCGAGGTGGGTGGATCACCTGAGGTCAGGAGTTTGAGACCAGCCTGCTCAACATAGTGAAACCCCATCTCTACTAAAAATACAAAAATTAACCCGGTATGGTGGCACACACCTGTAGTCCCAGCTACTCAGAAGGCTGAGGCAGGAGAATCACTTGAACCCGGGAGATGGAGGTTGCAGTGAGCTGAGATTGCACCATGGAA